TGGTATGTTGGTTTCCTATGGCTGCCATGAGAAATTACAAACTTTGTGGTTTAAAACAACAGAAATTAATTTTCTTCCCATTCTAGAGGTCAGAAGTCTGAAATCACCTTTCACTGGGCTGAGATCAAGGTGTGGACTGGGCAGTTCTCCCCCCAGAGGCTATAGGGGCAAATCCGTTTCTTGCCTCTTCCAGCTTCTGCTGGCTGCCACCGATCTTTGGCTCGCGACCACTTCGCTTCAACCTTTGCCTCTGTAGTCACATCGCCTTCTCCTCTTCTGTGTCTAATCTCCCTCAGCCTCTCTTCTACAGGATTCCTGAGATGATGCTTAGGGCCCACTTTGATCATCTCTTCATTTCAAAGTCCTTGATTTAATCAGATCTATAAACTTTTTCTTTTTCCATATAAGGTAACATTTACAAATTTCAGAGATTAGAACACGGATGTCTTTTGGGAGGCCGGTATTCAGCCCACCACAGACAGCTACCTTGTTTTATGGCACGTCAAGATGTCTTAGACTTTCCAGCCCCAGAGCTGGTAGAAGTAATTTTTCCAAGGAGCACTGGTTTCTTTTAGAAGGAAATTGTATTTAGAGACCACAGCCTGGTCCTAAGGGGTGCTCATGGCCATTAGTTTGACATTGCTATAAGGCGTTTTGAGGTGGAAAGAGCCAGAAAGTAGACACATTTTTAGAAAGAGAAAAATGATGTCTGTGCTTATTAACCTCTTTCATTTATATGTCTTTTCTCGTGCTGAAAAATCTTAGTTTCTAGTAATAGTAACGCAATTCATAATTATGTATTTGCTTTATTCTAATAATACCAATGTAATTACGAATAATGAGAGTATTGAATGAATTTAAGATTTCTTGGCAGTTCCTTTTGCTCTTAGGGTATATCCTACTTGCTAAAATTGAAAAAAAATTTTTTTTGGCTCACTTGATAATACTCCAGTATGCCACCAACTTCAATATACAGTTGGAGCGGTTTGAGTCACTTTTAAACATTTTAGCAATTGCTTCTGTTAAAATTTGTGTAGAATATTTTTTTCTTTTATTATTATTATTATTGTTGTTGTTGTTTGAGTGAGGTTGACCTCACAGATCGCAAGGATCTTGTCAGCTTACAATCCCTTACTTTTTATTTTTTACGCCTGCAGCACCTGGTCTTCCTAGGTGGTCTCCCATCCAAGTACTAATCAGGCCCGACCCTGCTTAGCTTCCAAGTTCAGACAGCATAGGCTTGTTCAGTGTGTAGAATATTTTCACAGTTCCAAAGTCAACATTAAAAATGAGGGTACATTCAGAGGGGCCCATCTTGTATACCGGTGGCCAATTCTGTCCTTCCATCTTTCTTAGGTAACTTACTTTTTAAATTTTTTGATTTAGCCTTATATATTTTTGAAATATGAACATATGCAATTTGTAATTCCCTTTTTTTTCTTTCACATAAGGACACACACTAAACATTGTTCTGCATTGTTTTTAAACTCATATCTGGTTGGCACTTGGTGACAGGACATAGAGATCTTTCTTGTTCCTTTTTACAGTCGTGTGGATGCGCCATAGAAATTCAACCAGTTATCCGTTGATGCACATTTTGGTTATTTCCACTCTTTCGCTATTACAAATAGTGCTGTCACGAAGAGCCTTGTGTGTGCATCTTTTTCTTAAGGAAGCGTTCTGAACGCAGTAGCGTGACCTGATCGGATTTGCATTTTAGACACTCCTGTGAACAGGAGGCAGTGTGACCTGGCTGGGAGGCCAGGGGCAGGCTGGGGCCAGGACCAAGGTGAGGCTTTGAGGGTATGGAGAACAGATCAATGACATATTTTGGAAGTAGAACTCACACGGCTGTGTGCGCCCGGTGGGATGGATGACGATGATGTGGCCGTGGGGGCAGCCGGGAGCGGTAGGTCCGCCCATCGTGGGGGAGGTGAAATGGTGCGTAAGGACCCCCAGCGAGGAGTGGGGATGATGGGGGTGCCCTCACACGCGCCCTACCCCCCGCCCAGCCCTCGCTGTCTTCCCTCTCCCCGCCCAGGGTGTCGCGCCTGGCTTCGGAGAAGCACGAGCTGGAGGCGCAGCTGGGCCGGTCGCGCGAGGAGGCGCTGGCGGGGCGGGAGGCGCGCCA